ATAGATAGATAGATAGATAGATAGATAGATAGATAGATAGATAGATATAGATATAGATATACACATAAATAAAAACCAAAATATATACAAAGTATATACAATCTAATGAGAATTGGCAGTACACATTGAGAGAGCAAGAAAGGTCTTTTGTATATATATAGGAGATGGAGCTTGAACTGAACTTTGAAGGGAGTCCAAGGCATGCAGGTGAAGTGCCAGGAGTGTATTTATGGCATGGGATAACTACCTGTGCAAAAGAATGGAGATGAGAGATGGAGTGTTATTTAAGAGGAAGTAAAAAAGGGTCCTTTTGGCTGTACCATGGAGTTCACGGACATCTGAGTGGAGCAGTGGATAGAGTGATGGGCCTAGAATCAGGAAGACCTGAGTTCAAATCTTGCCTCAGACACTTGATAACTGTGTGACCTAGGCAAATGACTTAACCTTGTTTGCTTCAGTTTCCTGATCCATAAAATAAGCTAGAGAAGGAAATGGTAAACCACTCTTGTATCTTTGCCAAGAAAATCCCGAATGGGGTCATTAAGAGTCAGATACAACTGAACAACAACAGAACAAGAACAGAGTTGATGGAAAGAAGTAATGTATAATAAGCCTGGAAAGGGTGGTCAGATCCAGATTGTGAAAGGCTTTAAATACCAAGGAAAAGAGTTTATATTTCATCCTAGAAATAATAGGGAGTCATTGGAGCTTGTTAAGTTCCAATGTGGCTTGGTCAGACATGTTTTAGGAGTATCGCTGCAACAGCTGCATGGAGGATGAGCTGGAGAGGGCAGAGAAGAGAGAGGGACATTGATTTGGAGGTTATTGCAGAGCTCTGGGGGAGAGGCAAGGTCAGAACCTGAACCAGGCTGGTGGCCAAGTGAGGTGAGAGAGGGGTCTAGATTCCAGAGCTATAGAGGGAGAAACTGACAAGACTTGGCAACAGACAGTATAGGTGAGGTGAGAGTAAATGAGGAAGCTGATGATGATTCCATGGTTTCATACTTGACTTACATCCTCACATCACTGAGACCTAAGAGTCCATAATAATCATAGAACTAGATAGGATTCAATATGGTTGACATCTCAGCCCTACACAAGAGAGGGTTCTTGATCCCAGTAAATTGATTAATCTTCTTGCCTACCATGGAATTATAAGAGCTAAAAGGGACCTGAGAGGTTATTTAGTCTAATCCCCACTTTTCGTTGTTCTTCATTTTTCAGTCGTGTCCAACTCTTTGTGACCCCGCTTGGGGTTTTCTTGGCAAAGTTACTGGAATGGTTTGCCATTTCCTTCTCCAGCTCATTTTATGGATGAGGAAACTGAGGCCAACAGGGTTAAGTGACTTGCACAGAGTTAGACAGTGTTTGAGGCCAGATTTGAACTCAGGAAGAAGAGTCTCCCTGATTCTGAGCCCAGATCCTTGAGAAAAAACCAAATTCTTAACACACACTTATCAGTGTACTTGCTGTATACTCCCAGTAAAATATAACACCCCCCATCCACTTTGACAAGCTTCTCATAACCCAGAGAGGAACATGTACCCCAGATTGGTAACCCTGTTCTATTTCTGCCCTCCAATGAAAAGATTCTTTTTTTTCTAGTGACCTATGATTTTGTTTATATTTTCCTCTTTTATTTCCAAACAGTTGAGTTACACCATTTTATTCTAAGATGTCTTAGCCATATTCAATTCCTCTTTATTTCATCTGTTGATGATGTTGCCAATTTCATTTCTTCCTTTAATTCCTTCAGTATGTTTACATTTTAGTATGTTTCAAAAATTCTAATTTTTTTATATGGGGAAGAAATCTCATGAACTTGGTGAATGTGGAAACTTCTATAATTAGAGTTTATGTTTCCTCTCTATCATTTCATACCAAAGGGAAAACTGATAAACAGAAATATGGAAAAAAAAAGGCTCAGCTGTGTATGTCAGTTATAAACAAGTGTCCTACATCAGTCAAAAAACCACAGTGGGGCTGCAGTAGGCAGATTCAGGGATGGGGAACTTACCAAGATTTACATATATTTAGTAGAGAGAAAAGGCCTTCCTTAATATAGACATTAGATTGTTATAACTTTGGGAGAGTTCTAAAATGAAACTTAAAGGTTTTAGGAGGTAGACGTCTGTTTGTAAAAAAACCAACAAGAGAAGATAGGTAAGAATATTGTGTTTCATGAGTTTGATTATACCAATTTAATTATAATCAAATGTACTATTAATGATATACTAGATATATAAATGTTATGATATAAAAAAGTGTTGATCTTTGTTCTAAGCACTCTGCCTTGAGAAGGGTAAATAGTTGCATTGAGTTAAGAAGATCGGTATCTAATAAAGCAAGTTTCAAATACAAAAAAAAATTATAGTTTTTTTTTCTTGGTGTTAAAATTTTGAGTCCATTTTTCTTTTGGTGCTTTTGCAGCTTTGTGGCACAGTGGATAGAGCACTGGGCCTGGAGTCAGAAAGGCCTGAGTTCAAATCCAGCCTCAGACACTTACTAGCTGTGTGATCCTGAGCATCCACGTCACTTAAACTTTGCCTGCCTCAGTTTCCTCAATTGTAAAATGGAGATATTAATAGTACCAACCTCCCAGGATTGTCATGATATTTATAAGAAGAGATAATATTCATACATCTCCTTGCATAGTAACCTAGCACATAGCAGATGTTTAACAAATGTTTGCTTCCTTCCACAGAGCTGCAGAAATAACAATAGGCATAGAGTATCCAATAGACTTACTTTCCCACCAGGGGATAAATCTCTTTGTCATGTTCCAGTTACCATGGATGCCGGCAGAGGCAGCTTTCACCCTTCCATAATAAGGTTCTTGTACATCTGAGGTTTCATTTGTCAGGTCACAGGAGAGTTCATAAATGCCCCAGCATTCCTCTTTGTTTGTCCACTCTTTCTCCCCATAACTATAGAAGAGAGAGGGAAATCAACAGCAACAACAACAGCAACCCTGAAGACCTAGACGGTTTATTTTTTTTTCTTTTCTAGATGACTGCTATTTTCCCCTGGCTAGTTGAAGCCATTTTGCAAGTGCAGCAACAGTGCCAGATGATTCTTAAGGATTCCACCTGTTCTTTAGTCCTGCTGGTCTGCTAAATCAACCCTGGTCCACTGAGAGGTCGCTTGGGTTTCTGTTTTTAAGGATTGGGGCCCTGGAGATGCAATGGGAGCCACGCTGGATTTGGAGCCTAGGACTGGCGTTCAATTTCTGGCGCTGTCATTAGTGATCTCTAATCTTGGGCAAGTTTTTTAATCTCTCTCAGTCTTGGCTTCCTCCTCTGCAAAATGAGTGTTTTAGAACAAAACAACCTTTAGCTCCCTTCCAGCTCAAAATCTGTGATAGCATTTTCTTTTCTAAACTATCAGCTGCAAGAAAGAATTTATTAGCTCTTCGTCAAGGGGCAGGGAAAAGGAAAGGGAAAAGAAGAGAAGGGGATAAGCATTTACATGGTACCTATATGTGCCGAGCACTGTGTTAAATACCTTAAAAATATTATATCATTGAATCCTCACAACAACCCTGGGAGGTAGGTGAAGTTATCCTTATTTTATAGGTGAGGTTAAATGACATAGTGAGGGTCACATAGCTAGTAAATGTCTGAAGCCAGATTTGAACTCAGGTGTCCAGGCCCAGCTCTTTATCCACGGTGTCACCTTTTGTTGTTGTTCAATTGTTTCAGTCATGTCCAACTCTTTGTGACTCAATTTGAGGTTTTCTTGGCAAAGATACTGGACTGGCTTGCCATTTCCTTCTCCAGCACATTTTACAGGGAAGGAAACTGAAGCACACAAGATTAAGTAACTTCCGTGGTCACACAGCTATTGTCTGAGGCCAGATTTGAACTCAGGAAGATGACGTTTTCTGACTTCAGGCCAGGTACCCTATCCACCGTACCACCTAGCTGCTTAGTGTGCTGCCCAGCTGCCTGATTTAGGTAGGAATATGATAAGTGAAGAGAATAGAGAAAGGTAAATGTCTTTTCTCCAATTTGTTAATACTTTAAGGACCAATTGTTTTGTTGCTGTTCACACTCTGTCTTCTGATGTAGATAACAACTCCTCTGGATCTATTAGGTGGTCTTCAAGAAATGCTATAACCAAATATTGTCCCATAGCTAACCTAGAAATTAGCCTCTCCTCCAAAGTTAGCTAGGTTGGTCCTTGGACAGCAGATATACTCTCTGTTATGAGGCTGACAGGAAAATTAATTTTCCTGTCATTATAAATGCCAAGTCCTAAAATAAATCAACCTCACAAGTGGAGAAAATGGCATCTTTAATCAAGATAACATGGGTCTCAAGCCTGGGACACTTCTATGCATCTGAGTAGATGGGTGTGCACCAAGAAAACTTCTAGAAAGGTTTTTATACATTCAGGAGGAAAAAAGGAGATGGGGTAGGGGGGGAGAAGAAGGGTCATATGAGGATTGAAGCCTGGTCATGAGCTTCCAGCTACTTTTGGCAATCTGAGCAAGAAACCCACTTCATTTTGGTTGTCTTTATCCTTCATGATTCTATTTGCCCCAAATGAGGGGGCAGGGACACTTGGAGCCCCTTTCAGTACCTGCGGCTAGCACCAGTTGGTTCTGTTTCAGGATAAACAGAGCTAAAGATTCCAAGGCTACATCCCAAAGGTGGCGCATACTCCAAATTTAATTGGGAGTAAAATGCTTTAAAAGAAGGAATGGAATGACATTCCTAGGATTCTTTAGAGGGAGGGACTTCTCTTACTGTCTATGGCCTTTTGACAGAGAAGGAAATATTTCATTTGATATTAACAATATTAAAATTATTTTTTATCCTGTCAGGGTCCATATACACCCCATTGGGCAGCTTGGTGTGTGACCCTGGGCAAGTCACTTAACTCTGTTTGCCTCAGTTTTCTAATTTGTAAAATGAACTGGAAGAGGAAATGGCAAACCATTTGAGTATCTTTGCCAAGAAAATTCCAAATGTTCTCATGAAGAGTTGGACATAACTGAAACAACTCAGCAACAGCAATTGTCTCACAAAGCTTGTTTTGTTTTTCTTTTTTTTGCTGGTACAACTTTTGAGAAACCCAGTGTCATCTTAACACTACTATAAGCCATCAAAGTTGAACTGTGGTAAGAAAACAGAGAAAAAGGTAGTATGGATCTAGTTTCTCCAAATGGGCAGTGTTTTTCAAAATGTGGGGTCGGTAATACCTTCTTCAGGTAGTCTGTGAGGTCAAGACTACCGCTATTTAAATCCAATTCACCTGCAAGTCAAGATATCTTCATCACCCACTATTTTACCCCAACAGGGCGATGTCATTGTTTTTGAAAATGAAGGATACTCAACAATTTTCCTAAAAGTGCTAAGACATTTTAATTTCTAATATGGTAAATATCAATAGATATAGCTCACATAAACAAAAGCTCTTTGGTGGGAAGAGGACTTCAATAATTTTAAGAGTATTAACAGGTCCTGAGAACAAAACTTTTGAGAAACGTTGGTCTAGAGTATAGCAAGTAGTCTGGCTGTCTGGAGGGAAAAAAATGTGCATTGGGGAGTAACCAGCTTAAAGACTTTGGATTTTACTCAGCGGACGATGAGATGTTGAAGGTTTCTGACTATGTGCGTTACTATTTTTAAGGAAGAGTAGTCTGATAGTGGGAGCAAGATGGATTGGAAGAAGTGACTGTAGGTAGGGGATCCAGTTCTAAGACTGTTGTAATAAATATCTCCTAAGGGAAGCGGTGAGGGCTTACAATAGCATGAAGGCAGTGGGAATGATAAGTAAGATACATTCCAGGAAGTAAACATGGATGGACATCATTGCTGTGTTTCTAAGTTCTGCTCCAAAGTATTTTGATATTTCAAGGGGTTTCATTGATGTGTTTACTCCTTACAGGGAGGCAGATTGTAAGCCTATCCACGTCTACTCATACCCTGCTGCCATTGCCCATGCCCTCACATGGATCCTCTCCAAGGGATCCACCCCATAAAGGTGGGAACCTTCCTCTACATGCCTTGAAATCATGTGGATATCAGTTAATTATATAAGCTGTTCACCAGTTTTCCCTTATTCGCATTATGACTATTTCATCATTTTTTTTCCTGGTTATATACCTGACAGCATAATTTATTCAACTTTCTGTGCAAATTTTCATTTGTTAACATGTTAGCCTCCTCACACCCACCACTACATGTTCCTTTATTTATCCTCTGGGTGACTCTTGATTTTTATTCTTTAGAGACTGTAGCATTACTTTTTTATTGATAAATTTTGACAACACAGCAGACAAACACAAATTTACTAAGCATCGTTCTCAAAAGCAGTTAAGCAAAATAACAAAAAAAGAGTAATTACAACTAGAGGTATATGGAACTGTACATTAAAAGAAAGGAAATTTTCAGTCCTATCGTGTGGTCTATTCTGTTTAATCTGAATTTTGTTGCTGTTTAATGTTGAGGTTTTTTTTAATTAAAATTTTTAATTACTAGAAATCTATTTCTCACTTCTACCCTCTGTGCCTTTAGAAGAAAAAAAAGAAACAAATTCTGTACAACAAATATGCATAATCAAGCAAAACAAATTTCATTGTCTGCAGGTAAAAGTTTTCTTGGTGGACACCTATATACTCATGATAGTGATTTGTTCAGCTATTTCCCAATTGATAGGTATCTTCTTAGTTTCCAATTATTTTTGCCACCACAGAAAGAGCTGCTATAAATAATTTTGTATACATATGACCCTTTCTTCAAAGGGTCAAGGGTTCTTAACCTGGGGTCTATGACCTTGTTTAATTAAGTTTTTGATAACCATATTTCAACATATTGAGTTTTCTTAATGATCCTATGTATTTTATTTTATGTATGTAAAAATATTATTTTGAGAAGGGATCCATAAGTTTTACCAGACAGTCACAGATATTTATGACATAAATTTAGGTTATGAGTCCCTAGGTTACAGGAAATGATGATAAGCAATGAGGTTTTTAAAAGTATGTTTTTGACATCTCTGAAACCAGATTGTTTTGCATTTATAGGCCTGAGGGTGAGAGGTAGATTTAGGGGGTTTCTAAGTTTGAATTACTTCCAAAATGTCCATGATTCCATAATCTCTAGGAGAATTTCCAAGCCACTACTCCTCCTCCTGTGTAATTGCTCCATCCCCTCTCCAGTGTAAAAAGTAAAAGTTAGCCAGGGGCATGCTGGTAAATGTTTAACAACTGGCTCTCAGAAAAAGAAAAGCACATTGATCACCTTTTGAGTTTAGTCTGTACCATTAACATTTTTCTCCATCACTTTCTTACATCTAAGCAATCAACAAAACACTAAACCAAGCCCAGATATGTCACATTTGCTGATTTCTGAGGTGTAAGAGCTCACCATGAAAATTTAACAATCAGCTCTTGTGGGCCAATTTGAAGTTCTCACACACCCCTGGAACAGACAGTCAAGCTAAGCCCATTACCCTGTGAGGTACAATAACTTCCTATTTGTGTGAGATTTCTGGGGCCTATGGAGTTCACATAGCTTATCTCTGACAACTACCCTGTGGGGTTAGGCAATAATAGCAATGAAAGCTGACATTTGTTTAGGGCCTTGAGGTTTTATGGAAGTGTTTATCATCCCTTTCTTATTTAGTCCTCACAATAATCCTGTGAAACAGATAGTGCAAATGTTATTACTTCTGTTTTACAGAAGAGGAAACTAAGGCTCAGACAGTGTTTTATCCAAGGTCAGAATGCTGGGAAATCACAACGTTGAAATGTGAACCCTAGTCTTCCATGCCCAGTGGTCTTCAACTGGACCATGGTGTGATGTGACTCATAGAGCTTGCTGACTGACTGATGGCAAAGGCTATATTCTCTATCTCTTTCTGACTTCAGTTTCATTCTACTTGGACTGAGGAAGGATTGCCTTAGGAACCTTGGGATCGTGGATTCAAAGTTCCAAGAGACCATCCAGTCCAACCCTTTTGTTTTGCAGATAAGAAAACTTGGGCCCTGAGAGATTAAATGATTTGCCCACAGTCACACAGGTAATAAATGATAAAGCTGAGTTTTGTTTACACACTCTCTCCCTCCAAATCCATCATTATTTCCTCAGCACAGGAAAAGGAGTTTCCCAGGCAGGCAAAAGTTAGAAGGAATACTTACATTTTGTACTGCACAAAATAGACGGTGTTGTTGGGAGTGGAAGCACTTCCAGGATGCCAGTGTAAAATACTCTGGAGATTAAATGACCGAAATTCAACCCTCAGGGGTGTCTGAGATTCCTGTACCGGGAGGCTTCCTGGAACAACAAGGGAAGGGAAAAAATAGTACTAAGAGATAAACCAGAAGTGGTTTGCCAGTATTGCTTAAGGACCAGAGCTGGCTGTCTATTCTCTAAATGTGGTCCAAGACAAATTTCCCTTTTCAAAGAACTTTGTCTTTAACCCCTTTCCAAATAACATGATGTATAATGTTACTAACAGGTTATGTGGAAAACACAGGGAGTTACTACACTCTGTGTCCCCTGCTATTGCAGGCTAAATTTGACTTCAGGGCCTGCCCATGCTTCCTGACTGTCATTACTTTTCCTATTTGGAGTCTTTCCCCCCTTATTTCCTTGTTCACCTGGAGTGTCTTCTCCTTGAACCCACTCTGATTTTTCCTGTCTGCATACCCGTATATCATAAACATACAAACCCATCTATCCCTCAAATTCAGTGCTTTCTCATTGACCTGCTTAAATAGATCTAAAAAACTATTTTTTTTTTCACGTGAGCATTTCCTAGCAGGAAGCAGGGGTAGAAGGAGAGGTAAAGTGATAATTATTCATCAGAATTATCACTGCAGCTGATCCTCAAAGCCTGAGGTAACTGGGTGGGTTGTGGTCACTTCTAGCCACACAAGCGTTTCTGACATTTTCAGCAAGATCAGCAGTCAATCTATGTCAACAAGTTTTATTATAAAGATTGTTATGTACTAGGCACTGTACTAAGTTGTGGTTGTTGTTCTTTGTCCTTCATTCTTGAAGAGGACCATGACATCAGGAAAGTGGTGTCATGACTTGTAGGTGAATTGGATTTAAGTGAGGCAGGGTTGTGCAAAGTCACCAGCCTCACTTTCTCCTCCAGAGCCATCTGGCTTCAGTGGCAATATATAGGTCAGGACAACTGGAGATGGGCCCCACTGTGCTAAGTGCTGAGGACACAAAGGGAGGCAAAAGACAGTCCCAGCTCTTGAGGAGCTCACGGTCTAACCGAGGAGACAATATGCAAAAACCATGCACAAACAAGATTTATGTTGTGGTTGTTCAGTCGTTTCTCCAGTCCTGTCAGACTCTTCATGACCTCACTTGGGGTTTTCTTGGCAAAGATACTGGAGTGGTTTGCCATTTTCTGCTCCAGTTCATTTGACAGATGATGAAACTGAGGCAAACAGGGTTAAGTGACTTGTCCAGGGTCACACAACTAATAAGTGTCTGAATTCAAATTTGAAGTCAGATCTGACTCTAGGCCTGGTTCTCTATTCATTATACCATCCTTATGCATTAGATAATAAACACAGGGAAGTGACTAGATTTAAGTGGTAATAATAGGTTAATGCTAATTTGTTATTTTGGCCATTAACTTTTTAATTGGCAGATGGAATGAAGCTTGTGGACTAGCCCTGCTTCTTGATAGGGACCTGGATAATCCTTCTGTCCAAGTCTAGGCATGTAGGTGACACAGGACTTGAAGTCAAGAAGACTTTAATTCAAATCCTGCGCCTGACACTTTGTAGCTATGCGACCCTGGCCAGTCATTTAACTTCTCTGTGTCTCAGTTTCCTCATCTGTAATCTGGGGATAATAATAGCACCTACCTCTCAGATGGCTAGAACCAGCCATCTGGTTTCAGTGGCAATATATAGGTCAGGATGACTGGAGATGGGCCACACTGTGCTAAGTGCTGAGGACACAGTCCCAGCTCTTGAGGAGCTCACAGTCTAACACCTCAATTTGTTGTCTACCCTGAAACACATTAAGATATAGAGACACAAAGAAAAGAGCCAGTGCTATTTCCGGAGTATCTTGATCACTCGGGTTACAAAAAAGAAAAAAAAAGGGACCCCAAATAACAAATTAAAAAAAAAAATTAGAACACTTACCTCCTCCATAAATCCAGAAGTTGATAAGGAAACTTATAAAGCAATGTTTCAGCATCATGGTCAGCCTACGACTATGAGAAACAAATATTCCACTTCATAAAAAGAAAGCTCCAACCTACCCAGTTCTATAAGTAGGTTAAAAAAAGGAAGTGATACCTATGTTTTCAGTTCTTCCTTTTGCAAGATACTTTAAAATCTCTTTTGTGAAAAAATGATTTATCTTGGTAATTAGTGTCTTGGAGACTCAGAACGCCCACCTGTCAGCCTTCTGACCAAAGCTGTTTAGAAGGACGCCTCTGATAATGAGATTGCATTGAATCTTATCTTGGTCAAACTCCGACTCAGGCCTGAATTGATTTTATCCTACTCAGGTTTAGGTGAAGACAAACTCCCAAGACTGGGCGTGGTATTTTCTTTGATGTCAGGAGATATTGAGCCCTGTAGACTGAGTGATCTAAGGTACATACTCAAGTACTCATTTTAATATAACACACCTCCTAGTATTTCAATCAATCACAGCCAATTTGCACCCCTTGGGAATACCTACTCTTTGAAGGGCATATAAGTCTGTACCCCAAAATCCCAAATCAAGCCAGTTTTGGACTGAGCTACCGTGCAATGCATGTCAAGCCATCTTGAGAGAAATTAAACCATGGATACACATACCCTGATTTTGTCTCTTTCTTAGAGCAGACTCTGTTTCAAATTGGTGTTCGTGGGGTTTGGAGTTCACATTAATGGTGCCATGATTCAGATTTGGACTAGGATTTTTGGGCACACTCTTTTTCACCCCAACAGAGCTAGTACTGGGCACCCACAGGACTTTCTCTTGAAGTCAAGGGTGGGTAAGTCTTATCCCCAAAATCCCTGGTACTTATCTATTGGACTTCCCATTTTAGATTGCAGTCTGTTTTCTTTTATCTCCAAGTGGCTCTGTTGTGATTTGAGGGGTTCAGGGACCCCTCAAGAACTGAAGTACAAGGGCTGGGTCATCTGGAATGGATTCATGGACTCAAGCAATCTTTAAGTCAAGTTGGCAAAAGTTTATTGTTATGCTTTTCAGCTGGCAGAAGTTTTTTTTTGGTTGTTGTTGCTGTTTTTTTTTTTTTGGTGGGGCAATTGGGGTTGAGTGACTTGCCCAGGTTCACACAGCCAGGAAGTGTCAAATGTCTGAGGCCATTTTGAACTCAGGTACTCCTGACTCCAGGACTGGTGCTTTATCTGCTGTGACACCTAGCTGCCCCCAGGCAGAAATTCTTAAGGAATCTATGACTTTAGAGGGGTACAGTTAAAGTTTATGTAGGAAAAACTATAGTGAAGCATGTGTCAAATATGCCAACTAGGCGATGTGGGGCGGGATTAGAGAGTGGGGAAGAGGGGTGCTGTGCACATAGAGGTGTGGTTTTAGGCTTGACACGTCACTTAGTTAACTAGCGGTCAAGGCTGACTGAGGGTTGTCCAGTCTGCCAACAATCATTGTCTTGTTTGACAAGATAGATGTAGGGAGTATACATATGTCTTAAGTCTAGGGTACACATGAGGAGTTTAGGATGTAAATAATGAGTAGGGAGTCGGGGGTCCAAGTACAAACACCCAAGCACCCCATCAGCTCTGGGGGAAGAGATCTAAACAGGTCTCCTGGAAGGATGTCCTCTGTAATTGGCTAGGATTCAATCAGAGTAAATTGGCATGTGATAACTCTGAATTTTGACTGGTAAATTTTATTGTAATCTGAATTGGTTGAAGGCTAAATTGGTTTATCTTAAAAACAAACCCAGTCTAAAAAGCCCACAAGAAAATTAGATTCGTGCACACTTTGTCTTGTCAAGTTGTTTCTGTCTGTGTGTATTTGTAAATGTTTCGTGTGTGTGTGTGGTGAAAGATTAAAAATGCAGCCAGGAAAAATTCTAAGGAACTTTTTTTTTTTTTGGTGAGGCAATCTAGGTTAAGTGATTTGCCTAGGGTCACACAGCCTAAGGAACTTCTAAGGTCTATAATTAGAGAGAGAACATTGGGAAAGAACTCCCACTTTAGGCTTTCAGTGGGAGATTAAGATTTTTTTTGGGGGGGGGAGGTCCCAACACTGGCCAAGTTAGGATATCAGAATAAAGTTAGATAATGAGTAATGGAATCAAAAAGCAGGGAGAGATGGCAGTCTTTACTAATGAGGATCTAGAGCATGCAGCCCAAGATAGCAAGGGCTCAGAGAGGGAAAAGCTAAGGGTTTGAATTCAGGTTTAATCAGATCTCAAAGCTAGAGTTTGCACTTTACGTTTAAATCTAGAGAACTGCCTTGCACCCCTTCCTGCCTATATATCTGGTATCAAGGCAATGTGTTTAAAACTGCAAAAATAAAGGTTTTTTTCCGTCTTTTAAGCATTAGCATTATAAAAGCCTTTTGTGAAGGGTGTCAACTTCCTTGATTTGTAAATCCTTAGGTGTTAACTGCCTTCAGATTCTAACAGGTGAAAAGAAGCAGGACTGAAAGTGGAGTGAGTTTAAAAATTTTTTTTTTTTGGAATGTAAAGGAAAGTAAAGGTAGTCTGAGTAATGGGTTTGAAAGATTAGAAAGGAGAAATAAATGTTGAAAATATGATGGATAGAGAAAAAATGATTTGAGAATAGATGGGAGTGGGGTGGTCTGCAGCAAGCCCATGTGCTCTAAGCCCCCCACCCTTGGATGGTTATTCTAGGTGCCAGCTTCAGTTCATGGTGTGAGGAAGTTTGATTTTAAGTAGAAAGATTGAAAATAAAAATTTTGTAGCTTGATTTGAAAACCAACAAAGTTATAGAGGATTAGAAGACTACCCACCTTTCAGCATAAACCTGTAGGAAGGCCTTATTAAATCTAACCTTACATAAATATTGGCTACAGTAAAGATAGTTGGTTATTGTGATTTGAGATTATTATATAAAATCTTAAAATGTTTCCCTATCTTCCTGGGGGAAATTGGCCACATCCTGTCAGTATTGATTCAGATTCCTTAGGTCTCTTTGCCTGGGCCAAATTCTTAGCTAAGGTGAATGCTTACTGGGATTAAAGAGCCATGTGTCTTGTAGGAGAATGGACACAAGAAAGAAGATCTCTATAAGGAGACAGTCTGTTGGACACTATTTGAACAGCACTCAGACCAGAAAACTTCATCAGATGATGTCCCACAAACCAGACAGCTGTATGAGATGTCTTAAATGAACTATCTATTGTTACTTTTTCCCTTTGGGTCCCTGTATCTGTACTTACTAAGGGGACTGCCCCCTTTTGATTTGTCAATGCGTTGATCAGTTTCTCTCTCTCCTCTCATATCTTGTTATAAGTCCCCAAAACCTCTTGATGAAGTGTTGACCATATGAGTTAGTGATTCATTGAGAAGGCTATGCCCTCATTAGAATCAGATGGAGGAATGTAAAAAATGATTTATCTTGGTAATCTGTGTCTTGGAGACTCAGAGCTCCCCCTTGCCAGCCTTCTGACTAAAGCTCTTCAGAAGGACATCTCTTATAATGAGATTACATTGAATCTTCTTATCTTGGTTAAACTCCAACGCAGGCCTGAATTGATTTTATCCTACTCAGGTTTGGGTGAAGACAGACTCCCAAGGCAGGGGTGGTATTTCCTTTGATGTCAGGAGATATTGAGCCCTGTAGACTGAGTGATCTAAGGTGTGTACTCAAGACCTCATTTTAACATAACTCAACTCCTAGTATGTCGACCAATCACGGTTGATTGGCACCCCTTGGGAACATTTACTCTTCAAAAGGCATATAAGGCTGTACCCCAAAATCTCAAATTGAGCCAGTTCTGAACTGACCCCCTTAAGGGGGCCTAGTTTTGGACTGAACTACCATGCAATACAAGCCAGCTTGAGAGAAATTAAACCATGGACATACATACCCTGATTTTGTTTGTTTCTTTCTTAGAGTAGACTCTGTTTCACATTGGGGTTCACACTTTAAAGTACTACCTCTTTAAAGTATTATCTCTTTAAAGGAGGCCCACAAAGTACTGCCAAAAGTTGCAGAAAAAAATACTTTTGTGTGAAGAAAAAAAATTAAATGAACTGGTAAAGGATATAAGGTATTACTATTTTAATAGATCAATAGTTTGAAGGTTAAAAGGAGCAAGAAAAGAATTTTGATTTAATAAAAATGACTAAAATATATGTGTAAAGAAACAGTTTTCAGATTGAATTTGAGTAGTTTAGAATAGAACTACAGTATAAATATAAAGACTTAAATCACCTTGTAAAAGACAAAGGTAATGCCTCATTTGTATGTGAATATCTGATGGCTTAAAGGGACAAAGAACTTTTATTAATTAAAAACTGATGAAATATATTGTGAAGAAATATAGTTTTCAAAGACAGAATGTTATATAGAATCATTTTGAGAAATGATTAATAGATTTTAAGGGCATTATGGTCTCAGCTCATTTCTGTGTAACCATTATAAGACTGTAAGAGGGTCAAACAAAAAATTTATGAAAATCATGTGATTGGAAATTAAAGATGATGAAATAAATACTGTATTTTTTATAGGGGAAATTTGGTGAGTTGTTACCTCATAAGCGAAATGTGACACTGAGTGATACCAGGTGATTCTGATTTAAGCCACTGAAATAGGCTGGAGCCTTAGGCTATACTGGTATGGCAAAGATGCTAACTCTAGGCCCAGGGCTTAGATCCATTGTGCCATCCATCTGACCTTTGGACCTATGTCCAAACCACAACTCTGATCTTTTTTTTTTTTTTTAAGATAGCCATCTGTCCTCCCTGGGCTAGATGGTGTTTAAGATTCTTTATATCTTAGATCCCTATATCTTAGAATCCTAGAAAATCACTAAAGTTTCTTCTAGTTTAAAATCTTATGATCTATGGAAAGAACTGGAAATATAACCCTACATGTTGACCTGAGAATACCCACCTGGACCTACTCCTGAATTTAGCCTAAACTTTTCTAGAAAGTAGTTGCTATTTTACTAAACGACTTCAATCAAATGGATGTGACTCTTTTGTTTACTCATTCATCTCTGGTGGCTTTGATCAAAGACTCTACATTCACTAGTCTTATATCTTTACACTATCCATACTGTAAACAAACTTCCACTCATCATCCTCACCATAATCATC